TGACTTCCAAAAACAGAAGTTGCAAGAACTGTCTGGCTCAAAGTTTGTCAAGCCAAAACTTCAAGGGAAAAGATAACATCAGAAATGTTGAGAAATCTTGCAGCTGCCACAGCAAGTGTGGAGAGTGGTTGCCAAAAGGCAGCAGTGCAGTTTTAACCCCTGATACAACTCCATTTGAAGACATTATTGAAATCTGTGAATGCTTAACAGACAGTGAGACTGGGAGCCAGGAAGAGAGTGGCAACCAGATCACCATGTTTGAGCCTTGTGAGAGCAGCATCGGTGCTTTCAGAGAGCACAATGAGGCACTAGCTAACATGTTTGATGCACTCCTGGCAGATGAAAATAACATGCAAGACAATAAAGACTCAGACATCCTCACAGGTGAGAGGAAAACCTGCAAGAAACTTGAGTTGGAAAATCCACCACAGCGAAATCCAAAAGAAAGCACAGCCCAGAGTCAGCGGCCATGGGATGTTTCTCATACAGCCTCTCTTTTCACCAAAGCCTCTCAAGATGACTACAATTGTAGTACATCCAGCAAGGAGTCAGAACTATCGGAAGAATCCTTTGAATCTGGCTATCAGAGCTCCAGCATAAATTCTGCTTCTCTAGATGCAAGAGATCTTCAACAAATGGTTCATCAAAACCTTTTTCTACACGGTTCAGAAAATGAGCAGGACTCTTGTATCCTGATCCAGGAATCTACAGATAAACCATTCTTTGGGACCAAAACAGACAGAATAAACAACCCTGCAAACAAGAGTTTTGATACCGTTGTGTCTGCACCCGTGAGGTTGTGTGTTTCTGCATATAAGAGCTTTGACTCCCTTATGTCTCCATCTGTGGAGCCCTGTAGTTCTGCCTACAAGAGCTGTGACACCCTTTCGTCACCATCCCTGGAGCCCTGTGGCTCTGCCTACAGGAGCTTCAATGCCCTCATGTCCCAGTCCATAGCCAACAGTAGCCTGACTCTGTGCTTTGAAAGTGCATGTTCCTCACAGCCTCCAAGACAATTGTCAGAGACACCAGAACACAGCTGTAGAGATCAAATTGCTCAGCCTGCTGGCAGTGGGACGTGTCATGTCAGCTACAGGTCTCCCTACACTGAGCTTGACTTTCCAAACACCTGTTCAGAGCGTACTGATTTTCCATCTCTCTCCACACATGCAAATGAAGGTGCTTCAGCTTTCCTATCAGAGGAAGAAATACATAAGCAAGTAATATATCAAAATTTTCCAAAGAAAACCAATATAATTTCTTGCCCTATTGCACCTCAACCATCAGGTTATCAGCCTTTTGATAGTGCAGGTAGATGTAATGGTCCATACTGTGACAATGAGATTATCTTGTTACAGGAATCCTTCATTGGTCTGTGCAACAACCTCAAAGAAGCACCTCCAGATATTGCAGTCTGTGAACTTGACCTGAGGACAAAGGACTGTGTGTGTTTGACTGTTCAGAGTCCTGGTTGCAGCGTTGTCCCAGGTTTAGCCTCTAGTGAGAATGACACACAGACCAGTAATGGCAGCCCTTGGATCGATAGCTCTAATGAGCTGTCTGGTGATAGCAATGACGAAAATATCAGCAGAGAGGAACAGCTGTTGCATTTGTTAGAGCTGAACTGTCAAGATTTAAACAGCAGAGAAAGAACTACACAGGGAACAAAACAGAACAGCTTTAACCCTACTGGCAAAGTAATGCAAGAGAGCAGCAATAACGAACTGAATACTGACTGCCACTGCCACCCACACAGCCACTTGAGGGAACTTGGAGACGCAGGGGGAAGTGAAGAGATGCTGAAGCATGTAGAAGGGAAGGGGAGTGGCTCAGCAGCCGGCTTACCAGCATCACTGGACAGCATTAGGCTAAACTTAGGCAGAAAAGCTGCAGGGCCCCTGGAGCTCCACATCTCAGACAAGCTGTCGCTTCATTGTCTTGTGAATAACTCCAGTCCTTCTGATTCTCACGCCATTCACAGTGAGGACTCCAGACTGGCACTTACAGTTAAAAAAAGACCAATAGAACTGTTCAAGGAAAACAGCAGGAAGAATGAGAAAAAAATGAAATTTGCGCAAGCCCTTGCCCAAGAGGACAACTGCTATATGGAGGTAGCTTAGCCACATTTGCCAAGACTGAGTGAGCCTTTGGAAATAAACTGTATGGCAAATTGAAATGTTGCTTGTTATTTCAATCTTGACTGAAATGAGGGCTGCTACAGGTCACACGTCTTTCAGGGGGTTGTAGCACTAGTGTCTGCCCAGGACTGGCAGCCAGGAGGTGGTGCAGGCCCCTGGGGACAGCTGGGGGTGGCCCCCAGCAGCTCTACTGGGGTAAAGCCAGAGCTGAAGTGTCTCCAGCTGTGAGTGATCTCTAAAAGGGAGCAACAGGTGCAGGAAGCAGAAGTTCTTAGTACAGTTCCTGTGGTTATTGCCCTGGCTGTGTGTTGCTTTGGAAGCGCACAAAGGTGATGTGGAAGGTGCTGACACACGTAGAAGTGGGACATAGGTGCAGGTCAAAGGGGAGGTGACTGACTTAGCACACAGCTTCCATAACTTATTTCTTTTGGGGCAGGGGGTGTTGTCTTGTGTGCCTAGCCCTAGCACGGGGTGTATGTTTCCATACCCACTCAATCAAGACATGAAATACAGATTACTGTCATTTGGGCTTACACAGTGCTATTATTGGTCATTAGTTTCTTACTCTGTAAAAGCAAGCAGAATTTCTTCATACTTCTGCAGCTGTAAATGGCATCAGACATTTCTAAGCAGTGTTTTCCCAGAAAGCTTATCTAATGTGTGGTCCAACACCGTACCTTCATGGAACATTTTTTTGGCTTCTTGTTCTTGTCCAGTTGGAATGGGAATTATGCAAGCAGCTTAAAGGCTGTATATGCTTCTTGTTAGATAATTTTTCAAGAAATTTTACTGACAATTCCAAACTTCTCTACAGTGTTATCATATATTTTGATATGGTAAATTCCACCCTAGTATGCTGGCAGTGGTAAAAAAAGTTAAGAACCATCAAGTAATATTTTGTGTATTAGAATGTATACATGTATTCTCATTTAGAAAACCCTATTTGTATTCCCATTCGAAAGGAAGGAAACCATAATGCTAAGCACAGCAACTGGTTTTAACATATTTTGTAAGTAAAATTTTTGTACTGCAAACCTCTCTTCCGAGTTGGCCAAGTAGTAGAGGTAACTTCGTCAATTTTACAACACTGCAAAAAGGGTATGTAAGCCCAGGAAGGAGACTTGCAGCGTATCTGTATTTAGATGGGATAGTTAATATTTGTACAGGCACTGGGTTGTAGCTCCCTGTTATTTATTTGTTTTAACCAAAAATGTCAGATTAAATTTTATTTTCACTCAGGAGAGGGGTCTGGACTGAGCTCACCACCTGGGGACCAGCCTGTGCCTGCAGAGGCAGCTCACCTTCCTGAGAGAGGAGCTTCCTTCCCAGAGACTGGAACCCTCCAGGCATGTCCTTTTTGCTAGTGGAGGGCTCCTGCAAGGACAGAGAATTACTGATCATAGTAAGAGCATTTTCAGTGGTTTTCAGTTTGTTTGGAAAGGCTGCAGTGCAAGTGGAGGCTTGTGCCAAGTTTTAGCCTAGTTGTAATGCCATTTATTACTCCCGCACAATCGCTCCACCTCCACATCCTTCTCACCTGGCTGCCTACCAAATATTAGCAACCTGGTTCATCATGAGTGAAACAGGTTCCTGAGAAAAAAAGCTGGTGTGTTCCCAGTTCGGGAGAAGCTAGTTCCGATACACTTTTTTTTCCATCGCAGAAGTGCCCCAGGCTTAGATTTTTTTGTTTCTCTTCTGAGCAGTGTTGGCTCCGTAGAAATATGCAGCTGTACAGATCAGCTGTTGACAAATTCTCATCAATCACAAGGTTTTTCATTGCCTGTGGAAAACTAACAATACCCACAAGACTAGTAGGGAGCAGGAGCTTGAGGATGTGGAATCAAGTTATTGGGGGTAGGGACAAGTTAATTTAGGACAGGGTCAGCTTTTTAAATAACTTGCCTCTGCATCTTGCTTTCTGACCCTGCGTCACTGAGGCAAGATGCAAGGATGTTCCAAGTGTTCATCCACCATGAGCTTTATCTAAGAAAAGCAGTTCTTTTAGGTGTTGCAGTGATAGGGCCGAAGGAACAAAGGGTTAAGAGAATCAAGTGAGGGGTTTGTGACTTCCAAAACCCTGTTCCCTAAGGTTTACCTCTGACTGTGGAATTATGTGTCAAAAGTTCCTTAGTGAATAGAGGCTGAGAGGACAGTTTTTGTTCTCCTAGCTAAGTCTTTTCTGTAGAAAACCCCTTGGGGAACGTGACTTGTGCAGTTTGTGTTCTAGCCCTGACAGAGGTGCGTCTAAAGTGTGTTATTTTGCATGCAGTTGCTTTCACAAGACATACATGTTTTTTACTAATATTGGGGGAACTGTGCCTGTGCAATGCCCAGGTATGTGTGGACATGCACAAACACACACATGGATCATGTCCCACCTCTGCAGATTGCTGAGTACAAGGTCTGCCCCAGGCTCCCATGTGATGATGTATCATGATCTCACATTACCCGGAATTTTGGTTTTTTTCACCACTCTGCTGTGACTGAGCCATGTTGTGCCATCAGTGTCTCATCAGCCCTTGCAGCCACGTCCACAGCCCTCAAGGCCTCTCCAACTGCGCCGCAGTGACGAGGTCGGAAGCCAAGCAACAGCTCAGCAGGAACTTGCTGGCAATCACAGCAGGGAGACCAGTGAACTGGTCTGGTTTGCAGCTGCAGGGCTGTCATTTCTCAAAGCAGCTTGTTCTGAAGCAAAGGAAAAACAGTCAAGTGAGGAAGAGAGCACTTTCCAGGTACCTCACTAACACAACCAAAGTTAAAGCTTGCTGAATTGCCATACCCTCAGAGTGTTTTCCCAGAGTGTCTAATAACAGCTGTCAGCAGCACCACTGGTTTGCTAAATCCTGAATGTTCTTATTCCTTGTGACAAGCTGAGAAAGCACTGTTGAGGGGAACTTTACATCTCAAAGTGCTTTTCTCTATTTGTCCCTTTTGCTGTCCTGCTTCCAACCTGTTCCTTCTATGTCCTTCTGTATGGAAATTTCCATACCATTGGCTGTCTACCCCTCCACCAAGTCTACAAGATGAAAGGGAAAAAAAATAGGCTGCAGAATGGGGAACTGGCTGCTGTGGCACATTTAGCTGCATGAGAGGAGAAGCAGCTTCTTTTTTAGCTCTTAGCCAGTATACTCTCTATAAAACTCTGACCATCTGTGCAGGAGACCTAAGTTCCTGTATTCTGAATGCAGAGTGGCAATTGTCATGGCAAAAGTTGTTGCAGTCACAGCCACAGCCTGTCTTTGGTAGAGAGATGGCTGTGCTAGACCTGCTCCAGTCCGTGGAGTGTGACAGACATCCTAAGGAGCTCCTGTCCCAGTTCAGTGATGGATCAGTTGCTTCCTTCATCATGCTCCATTGTATAAGAGCAGGGCATTCATAGCAGTGTGGTGTTCATCCTCTGCTTGAAGTTTACTGAATTGGTGACTAACACATAGCACTGGGACTTTCCTGCTTGCTGCTGTTTCCCCAGCTCTTAGACATGGGGAAATTTGCCGTAAGCTGAAGAGTTTGAGGTTGGCTGCTTTTCCCCAGCTCAGCTACTGTTGGTTTCACTTGCAGTGAGCCACCCACACAGCAGCAAGAGCTATAATGAGGTGAGAAAGCACTAGACTGTGTTCTGTGGGTAGAATTTCCACACCTGGCTGAGGGTTATAACCACTCCCCAGTTCTTGTCTTGAGGCTGTAGAGTTGCTGTGAGAACCAGGAACGCACTGGCCATGGCTGGCCATGGAGGGAGCACCTGTGGTGAGTAGCCAGCTGAGGTCTGGAGGAGCTGGCTCATACTGTGCTGCAATTGCTGACCAGTGCATGTGTCTGGCAGGCCCTGGGTTTGAAGGTTGTGCAGGGCAGTTTGCTGCTGGGTAGTCTGCCCCCTCTGCTGCCTGGCTGAGGTGCTCCAGAAGCACATAGTACACTCCTATACGACAGGGGCAATGAAGCCGTGATGTGCCTTGTTTCCTTCACTAGGGCAGGAATTAAGATCCACAGTTTGATGTGTGCTGCCTATTTCACGGCCTCTGAGCTGTGCTGGGCCCCTGCAACAAACGATCTTGTCCAGAAGCGTCACGGGTTCTTCCCACTCCTGTATTGGGTTTGCATAGCAAGATTTTGTAGCAGAGGGGGCTACAGGGATGGCTTTTCTGAGAAGTCACCACCTTCTCACCTTTTTTTCTAAAGACACAATATATTGCTGCCAGTGACATGAGAAGTCACTAATTGTGTCAGGCCTGTGTGTTCTGTGGTGTAGGGATGCAGCCAGCCTGCCATCCCTTGCAGCTCACTGTGTGCCGTGTGAGCCGTTTGCTTTGCTTTAAATGTGCTGCCACAGTCAGAGGTTGAAGACAGCTGGTGCGTTTCTCACCTTGTAAGAGGTGCCAGAAGCCACCCAAGGCACACTCTGCTGCTGCACCCAGCCCCAGGTGTGGAAGAGCTGCTGTGAAGCTTTGCAGCCAGGCAGCATAGGTGGGACATGCTGATTTTTGACAGCTGTGGTAAACTAAAGCTCCATGAGATCCACGTGAGGCTCTTGCCATAAATAGCTGTGTGCCAGCAGCAGAGCTCTGCTCTTGGTGCATCCTTGCTTGCAGAGATCTGGAGACAAAGCTGATAGATGTTGCCTCTAACAGGGTCGGGTTCTGCCAACCTACATGAACAGAGCAGGGAGTTCTGCCAGCTCTGCTGACTCAGGTGAGCTCTGTGGGAATGCATGACAGCCTTGCTGACCTCGTGCAGAGATGCTCTGGGCATGTTTTGCATGGTGCAGGGAGTTGGGTTTGAGCCTGAACAGAGCTGTAGGTTTCTGTTCCAGATGGTCAGGGTGAGTTCACAGGCACAGTCATTCCTGTTTCTGTTTACCAGCATGTGTCTGGTGATTTCCTAAGAGAAGATACAAGCCTCTGTGCAATCTCCTCCGTGTGTGCAAGACATACGTAGTCACAGCTCTGTGAAGGTAAGCTTTTTTTCTCTGTCAGGAGCCAAAGTGATGACCTCTTACTACAGCTTTCATGCAGAATTCGTGCAGGTTCAGACTTGATGAATATTGGGGAAAACAAGAGGTCGAGCCCGGTGTTGGCAGCTACAGAAAACTGGCAAAGGCAGAAGGGAGGCAAGAGGGCAGGGTGCTGGGGTCTCTGCAGATGGCACTCAGCATTCCCCAGACTGAAAGCAATGCACTCCTCCCTCCCCTGCAGCATCCTGTGTCAGCTCAGCCACCACCTGCGGAGCTCTGGTGTTTTTCAACCTGCTGCTTTGCTGACTAACACCTCCGCTTTCTGCCTGGCTCATTCATATTTTAGCCCATTTCCTGAGCTTTGAGGTGGCTTCTTCTATTGCTTTCCCTTCCAGTAGAACACTGTTATTCATGTTTCAGCTGTTCTCCTGCTATTTTTCACTTATTGTAATGTATGATTATCTTCCTCCTAAATGTCACCAGTCAGTAAAGGTGCCTTTGACCCTAGAGTTATGCCAGGTCTGTATCTTTGATGGTGCTGAGGATATTGGTTTAACTCCATTGTGACAGGAAAAAAATACAGAGGTAGTACTGTTTGTGGGGAGTTTTTTCCCCAAACCATGAACTTGATAACTGCAAGCGTGACTAGTTCCCTCTCCTACAGGAAGGAATTGTCAGTTCTGATTGTTGTTTTCTCTGCATGTATTCTTGCTGATAAATACCTACAGATACCTATCCTTCTTCCAGTCATGGCAAAATGTTTTTGGGTCATGAATAACTCTAGGAGAATCTACCAAGCCTTCCCTGGTGTGCCCTTCACGCTTGCTTCTTGGTGAATATTGCCACTGCGAGCTGGGCTGAGACTACACTTTTAATGAGTTAAGTTTGAGAAAAACAGGCCTTTAGGTGCAATGTATTTAAATTTATAAAGCTATTTGTCTTAGAGTGCCATCGGTGGTTTTGTTTTAAAAATTAGCTCTGTAATATCAAATGCATACAATTGCATGGTTTAAAAGCAGTATGGTTTGTGCCAGCCAGACTATCACTCTTTAGACTGATCACATACCTTTCCCTCCTTCCTCTGCACAAATAACAGTACTGGCACAGCTTGGAGAGTCCTGTGTAATCAGGGAGCAAAGGCTGCACCACTGCTCTGGTCTGCTATCCTCACAACCGAAAGATATTACTAAGTGCCTGGGGAATATCTAGTTTAGCTGCTCAGCCTCACTGACCCTGTGCTGTCCCACACTGCACCCAACAGTGGTGACAATCTCCACAACCCACAGGCAGCATCAGCTGAGGCAAGTCTTTTCTAGAAGCTTGGGCCTGACACTGTGCCTGCAAGTGATCCACAAAGCACACAGAAGGGAGAGCTAGTCTCTGTTACAGAGACTGCTCCAAAACACTGTGAGGAGTAGCTTCTGCACTAAGTCTTGGGACCTTCTGTATGCATGTTCTAACAGTGCACAACCAGCCCAGCTACCAGCAACTACCTGGGAAACATGGTCAAGAGCCACCTGCCCTGGCCTGAAAGACCTGATGCTTTTCCCAGATGGGAAAAAGGGTGGATCAGAGGGATGGAGGGCTGAATGTGGAACCCCCTCATCCTGCACCCTGCTGCTTTGTGCCAACTTTACTGCTGCAGTCTTCTTGGGTTATTCCAGCTCCTTGTTCTTTACCCTCCTACTACCACACTACACTGTGTGTGCCAAATCCCTCCACAGTGCTGCTCATTTCCTTCTTGGCCAAGGACAGAAGTATGCATGGGCTCCTTGCAGCCCCTTTTATGGTAGGTGTAGGTGAGTTGGCTGACCCTCTCTCAGTGTCAGCCTTGCAACCTGCAGAGCCCCAGCCCAGATACAAGCTGTAGGCATGAGATAGGGCAGCGATGAGCCCCCCACCTGTGTAGGAGCCAGACCATATCCCTGCCTGTCGTCTGAGGATTGGTGGTGTTGCCCTGGTCCTGGGGCCATTTTGGGGATGGATGGATGGAAGCTGAGCACAGTGGTGCTTGGCAGTCTCCAATGTGGCACATGCTGTACTATGCAGTTTGGCTTAGCTCTTTAATACCGTGACACTGATGCTTCCTCACTGCAAGGGTCTTATTCCACCAGCCCCACTATGACCTTTTAGCTATGTGAGTTTTTATCAGCTCTCCCACCCTTTTCTCATGTAAGAGATCAGAGCAGTACAGTAATAAATATTGTGTGGGTGTCTGGACCTGAATTCATCACCTCCTCTCACCACATCCTTCTGTCAGCACAGTAATACTGATACAGTAGTGACGTCAATCTCCATTTATCGCTGTGTATTCCAACACAGCGGCCCTTGGTTGTGCACAAGTAGGCTTTGCTCTTAGTGCAGATGAGACCCATCTTCACCCCAGCTCCTGCGCAGATGGGCTCTGCAGTCGCAGTGAGGGTTTAGCCAGGCCGGCCATGGAAGTGTTGGAGGGCTGAAATGCACAGGACAGGGCAGGTAATGTTCATGTTTCCACTAGTTTTCCCTGCTGCCAGTTTGTTGCTGCTTGATATCTGCAACTTCACTGTAACTCTTTCTTATAGCTGACATGCCCTTTGTGCCCTGCCTGTCATTGCTGTTGGCCTCTACTGAACAGCTGGAGCATTCCCCTGTCTCCCCCCTGTGATTAGATGGCAGTGTGTATTGATAAGGAATTTTTTTCAAGAAGAGAGCTTGTTTGGGCACATATAACTGGTGGAGTGTGTCTTCCACTCTTTTTTAGCTTGGGTGTAGCAAAACTCATTTTCTCATGCTTGGAAATATCCTCTTTTTTACCTAAACTGAATTCTTAATTAGTTTTGGTTTGGGTTGGGTTTGTTTTGTTGGTGTTTTTTTGCTGTTTTGTTTGTTTGCTTGGGGGGAGGTTGGTTCTGGGATTTTTTTTTTGTTTTGTTTTTTGGAAGTTTTGTAAGTGCATACATTTCCTGAAAATACTTCAAATTGAGAGGTTAGATTGCATCCATCTTTGGCAGCTTATAGTATCATATTTCTAGATCCTTAACAAAAAATAATCTTCATAAATCTCTGTGTCTGTATTGATCCTGTTTCCTATTTGCTGGTATATTAAAACCTTGTAGCATCATTTACATATGCATATCTATAGGAATGCTGATCAATTCTATTGCTGTGGTCTTGTACACTGTGCCCTAGGAGTTTGCAGCAGTGGCACTCAGCAGCTGTATGATGCCTAACATTTTATAGAATTAAGTGACTGTGTTTCAAGGCTGCACGAAGCTGACTTGGAGTCCCCATTTCATAGACCGAGATGGTCTGAATGAGGTCGTAGAAAGGACTTTTTTAATGCCAGACAGGGAACACGCTCCTGCCTCTGCTCATTGCCCCTTGCTGTTCTTCCCTCCAGATGAACAATCACGTGCTGACAGATGGAAGCAAATGGTAAGCGTGTAACAAATGGAGGAGTGTAGGAAAGGTGGGGATCTCAATCACAGACTTGAATTGAGGTTTGCAGGGGACCTGACTGGAGAAAGCTTCAGAACAAGGGCAGCTATACATCTCCATTTAAGTAATGAGGTCTTTCAGACATCAAAGACCACAAAGACACTGCTGCAGAGCTGCAGCTTTCCCAGCTCTTCCGCACGTGTCTTGTCTGCCCATGTCTCGTCACAACCTGGAGCACAGCCAGGAGATCAGACACACAGCACTGACACTGGTGCTCTCAGAGGCTGCAGTCCTTTCCCACCATGCTGAGATAGGAGAACTCTGCAAGAAGAGAAGGAGATAAGTGTTGTACTAGTCTGTGGGCGCTGGCAAGGGTAAGAGATGGTACAGTGAAGTCCCAAGTGAGGACTTGCTTTACTCATGTTAGCAGATCCTACTGCTTTTCTTTTTATTTTTCCACTGTGTTCTTATTCAGGAACCTCCCTTCTAGATTACAATGATGCCTGTTAACCTCTCTCCATTGTGTAATGGCAGCCTCTGGCAACTCCATCAAACATCTTCCCAATGAGCTACTTGTGTTTCTTGCTTCGAGTTTTCCTTGTTCAGTCCTTCCTGTCTCATTGGGTTGATGGTACCGCTCTGAGGAGTGGAAGGCAGGTAGGGGAGGCACTTGAAAGAAACCATAGTCCACTAGGTAAAAGCAGCAAATACTTTCCTTGTGTTGCTCTGTTCATTTAGGCAAGAATGGGGGTAAAATGAGGGAGCTACAGCAATCTCACGGATATAAAGTGGCAGAGGCCCTGCCAATTGGATTCTGAAACAAGTGGTGGGTCTGCAGACCTCTCTAAGGACCCATCCCTTCCTTCCTTCCTCTGCTGAAGAAGAGGCAGCAAGTTGCCTTTCTTGGCCTTCCAGCATGGCCAAGACTGCGGAGTATGACAGTCACAAAACAAAGTGATACTGAGGTGGGCTTATGGTACAGCCAGTCTTGGCATGAGGTTGGATGAGCAGGTTTCAGATGGCAGGATAACAACAGGCCTTCCTCAAAGGAATGGGGATTTGGAGAAGAACAGTGGAAGGATGAGTGGGAGTACAAGGTGGGGTTAGACAGTGGGCTGTATCTCGGTGACCAGGAAATGCACCACCAGAAGTAGTGGTAACAGCAAGAGTTACACAGAGGAAACTTGGAGAGCTGGGACCAGAGGGGTCAAGAAAAGGTGTTTCCTCAAGGTGATGTATGATGCAGAAAGAAAGGCTGGAGTGTGGGGGAAAAGAGCTTCTGTCCTGCCACTGGCAGCAGGTGAGGGAGGCTGGCAGGGTGCCTGGGGCTCCTTGCTGAGCTGGAGCAGTGCTTCCTGGGCAGGATATGTTTGGCAGGAAAGGAGGGGCAGCAGCTGCACCGCTGCAGCCACTGAATGTCTGTGACACCTCCAGAATGAGGCTCACTGATCTCCTCTGGCACCTTGGGAGCACATCCCTGAGCTCACACAGGGCTACAGGGGCTTTCTGCTGGCTGCTAAATTTATTTGCTTTCATTATTTGAGTAAACCTGGGAAATTTTTTTAACACCACAAATGTTCCCCACGTGGTAGAGGCCTCACTGGCTTCTCTCTGCTGAGTGACTGTCTGGGTGTTTGCTGCTGGTAGTGGAGGCAGCACAGGCACCCAAGAACCTGGATACCTGCAACCCCCCATATCAGTACAGGCTGGGAGATAAATGGATCAAGAATAGCTTTGCTGAGAAGGACCTGTGGGTGCTGGTGGACAAAAAGCTGGATATAAGCCATCCATGTGCACTGGTAGCCCAGAAACCACCTGTGCCCTGGGCTGCATTCCCAGCAGTGTGGACAGCAGGTTGAGGAAGGGGATTCTCCCCCTCTACTCTGCTCTCGTGAGACCCCCGCCTGAGGTTCTGCCTGCAGCCCTGGGACCCCCAACATGAAAAGGACGTGGAGCTGCTGTACTGAGTCCAGAGGAGGCCATGGAGGTGCTCCAAGGACTGGAGAGGCTACAGATAGGTTGAGAGAGCTGGAGTTGTTCAGCTTGGAGAAGAGAAGGCTCTAGAGAGACCATATTGCAGCCTTTCAGTATTTAAAGGAAGCTAGTAAGATATGGACAGACTTTTTAGCAGAACCTGTTGTAAAAGGACAAGGGGTGATGGTTTTAAATTAAAAGAAGGTAGGTCAGACTATGTGGCATGGCACCAAAGTGCATCAGCACAGCCTTTCCCTGCAGTCAGTACTGTACATTGTTCTCTTTTGTGCCACAAGGGAGGCGGGGTTTTTTTTTCTGGTATGTCTTCCTGGAGTCCTTTAGCTAGATATTTCATGTTTATTTAACCATGGGTAGGCCAAATCAATGACTTCTCACCAGCCTTGCTCATACAGACCCACAATGACCTTCAGACTCTTTTTGACTAATTCACTGCACAGATGTTTAACCTTCAGCAATGTCACTTCCCATAGTGGTAAGCCATTTCTAGTTGCAGGAAACTAATGAATTAAAAAATAGGTTAGCACTTAACCCAAGAGCCTTTCCTGTTGCATGGATAGCCTAAGGCTTCAGTCACTGCTGCTTTCTCTGCGCACATGATGGCAAGGAACAAGGATTTCACTGACCTCACTTGTGGCCAGCTGGCAGGGCTGTTGATCATCCCTCCCTCAGCCCATGGAGTAGGTACATGACACAGGAGAGCTGAAATTACTTGCCTAAATAAAGCACTTTTAGACACTTCATGAAAGCAAGATTAATTCCACCTCAACCTTCATCATATTAGTAGATGTCTGAGCTGAGCTTTTAATTGATTGTGGGAGTTTTGTTTGTGTTTTTCTTTTTTTCTTCCCCCCCCCCCCCCCCAGGACATCCAGTCAGAACCGACATGAGGAACAAACGGTGGCTCCAGAATATTTCCTTCTTCCTTTTATTCCAATACAGTAAGTTCTCAGTTATTTTTTCCCGGCTGTACACCCACAGGATTTATCTTGACAGTTGTTGCCAGCTCTGATGAGATGTGCATGAGCCCAGGTTGCCATGGGACAGCAAGCACAAGATATGGTGGCAGGGGAGAGGGTTCTATGGGATAAGGAGTGGAAGACAGGCACAGGAAGGTGCACAGCTGGGCAGAGCTCAGCCAGGCTGTGGGGAGCAGCACCAGCAGGGAGAGTGCAGAGTTAGTGCTTGGCTTGACTGAAATGTCTCCCAGTGACATTAGAGTAGGATTTCCCCCACCCAAAAAACCCGTTGTTGTAGCAAAGATTCTGGTGGCCAAGACCACGGCTTATGGTTGCTGTTGGCAGGTCTGCAGGGACAGTGGAGTGAACCTCTCCTGATCTGAGCCCCTTGGCTCAGGACTGGACTGTGCAGAAAGTCACCCACCGTTTTTTGCTGGTTCCTACCCACACTGCAAACTCCATATGACTCAGAGCTGACTCTCTGAACAGGTCAGCTGGACAGGACAAGGCAGCGACAACTGTCTGCAGGGAAACTTAGATATATCTTACGTGCTGCTTCTAGGCAGAGCATTGGACCTGCTCCAGTTAAACCTAAGTTAACAGAAAAGATGCATTCAGAGTTATATCTTCCTGCCATATGGGACCTTTGTGATGTTTGGTCTGAATTTTGTGAAATTAGTACACAGGGAATTACTGTGTACTAATTTCAGTTTGAATCAACCTAGATCTTACTGTTAGAAGTGTTTGAATTTTGTTTCTGAAGCTGTCAAGGACAGACATTTCATCCTAGATCTAACTGGGTTTAGGACACTTAATTATTTCTTTCCCAGTAAAAAGTTGTCCTCTTAATTTTGTTAACAGGTTCTTGCCCAAAGATACACTTGCAGCTTACCAGCTACCTAGGAATAGTAGTCTATTTGACTAATTAACATAATAGCATAGCAAAATGCTAATTACTAATGCTTAACAGCTTATTAGTACTTGCTGTCCTCACTAAAGGAAAGCAAGAGATTTCTAACCCCATTTTTGTAGGAGAGTAAAATTAGGCTAAAGGAGAAAAAATATGTTGCTCAGGACTTTGGACCAAACAGCGCCTAGACCAGGACCCTCAGAAGAGTCTATTGAGGGCTCAAAATGAAAAGAGAAAAATTAATGAAAATTTTAGAACAAAATTCTGAAGTCAGTGTGAAATGAAAAAGTCAAAATGAAAAAAAAGTGACAACCATATCACTTGAATAATTTACAGTTTAAAAAAGCATATGTACATCCTTGGGGCCAGTCTGTTGCAAATATCTCCAAATTTCTTCTGTCCCTCTCCTAGCTCTTTGGAGAAATGGGGGTCTTGTATACAAATCTGAGTGCTGCCCAGAGCTCACATATGGAGAGCAGGAGGACTGGGAAGTAAATGTTGTGATGGGTGACATCAGCAAGGAAAAGTTGGACTTTGTTTTCCTTTGAACTTATCCTGGCCTAGAAGGAGGCTACTCCCTCCACTGGACACCCCTACTGTGCATTGGGACTGTAAATGCAGAGACAGTTTGTGGGGACAGTCAATTGATCTGAAGGGCGGAACAGATGTTTTTGGTCCATCAGTGCACATGCTGCCTGCATTCCATATTGTTGGTGGTTCTCTGCATACAGCTTCAGCTGTAAAATTGGGCATTGTGATTGTTGAACATATTGTATCAGTCTGCTTTCATCATCTGCAAACAACACTGAACACAAAGCATGTTGCAAAGGGAAAGGAGGAAGCAGGGAGTGCAGCTTCTCTAACCAGACAAGCAGCAGAATGACAATGGGAGGAGAGCTTGCAGCATGGTCAGCATCAAAGGATTTGCGTGCCTGATGGCTGTGAAGTAACAAGTTCTCATGAGGCTGGGGGCAGCCCTGATGGTAGGGGAGGACCCATGCTTGATTTAATCATGGATGTTACAACCTTGAATCTCTTTCTAGATGACAACCATTTTATTCCCATCAAAAAGGGTGATACTGTACATGTCAGAGATGAATGGTCACTGCAGGAGGCATGGTTTGCACCAGCATGGCATGCTGCATTTCCTGCAGGCCTTTCCTCACTCAGCCATTACTAGGATAGTGGTGATAGTTTTAGTCAGTCCAGGGTGCTGTCAGGAAAGGACTCATCAATGCAGACACTTCTCACTGTGCTGCATCTTCCCTGCCTTGAAATCCAGGGAGATAACTGAAGTGTGTGATGCACAGGACAATGGTGCTTTTGTACAGCACATGTCAGATACTGATCTGTGAGCAGAGCTCCTGCAGAACAATTATAAGAGCATAAATGTTGCTTTATGACCACTTTCAAATGACTTAATTTTCTTAATGACCAGTGTAAATTCCACAATTGCCTCTAAAGTTTTCTTTACAAGTAATTAAATTGTGCCTATCAGAATGATTAACAGAAATTTTAATAATTATAAATTTGCAATTTTTTTTCCAAAATTTCATGAAAAACATCAAACCTCTGGAGCTGGACATGAAGTGTATTGATGCTGCAGATATCAAGCTGTAGAAAATAGAGAGAGGCAAAGAAAGAATTGCACATTTAAAAAAAAAAAGTGGTATTTTAGTGAAGTGCCATGTACATGTCATACAATGAAAACTAGACTAGCAAAGAATAGTACTCAATTTAGGAAGTGGTATCATAAAAATATTTGAATATGGTACTGCTTCTTACTGGGTTATCATGCCTATTCTATGTGCCATATACATATAAGTGAAGACTCTTGCTAAAATATGTGACTCTGCTGTAGTGATTGTATGAGAAGGGACAGGGATAAGTCCGAAAATTCAGTCACAATTTGGGCGCTTTCTGATTTTGGCTGCCACAGTATTTTTAATAGATTTTTGTTTGACACTTATCTTGCTGTCAAAGACTTGTCATCCTGTAGAGCTGGAACACATCTTAACCCAAGGCTGGAGATTTTTGTAAGGGCTGTCACAGAATGATCTGTTCCCTTCAGATTTAGTGAGAACCCTGAGGACTGCATATGGTGATGTAAATTTCTGCTTGCTTTATCATGGAAGTTGATATTGTGTTTTTTCTTTCCAAATCTACAGCTGTGTGTTGTGAAAACCTCACTTGTTTTGTGGACTACATACAGACCCTGTCCTGTATCCTGAAAAATGACCTGGGTGCTGGTTCATACAGCCTCACTGCAACATGGTATGTCTTGGTAGGATGAGCAAAGTCTAGTTAGCAGGAATCTCTGCATGACCATAGCACGGTGGTGACCTTCTGTCCTCTTTGTTGGGTAGAAATCCTGTTCTTGCTGATATCTGATTTTTTACTTGGCATTTCACACTTCAGCTACCAGCTGACTTCCCCCATAGCAAAGGACCCCTGATTCCTGCCTCCACTGACTGCTATGCTGACTCCAGCTTCCTTAGCATTGCCTGCTCTCTTCCCATGGGAATACCTTGCCCTTTGCTGCTGTTAACAGTGAACTTTCACCCATGTGCATTGGCAGGGCTTGTGCAGATTGTTCAATCCCATATGGCTGCTGTTCTGCCCCAGCAAAGGAATGGATGCAGTCCTGGGTTGTTTAACCCCGAGGAGCACCTTTCCTTTTGACAAACACTTTTCTGCTTCTCTCAAAGATGCTAAGCTGAGCAAATAGAAAGGGGAAAACATCTGTAAAAGTTCAAAGATAAATTTTTATTTGAACATGTTGACTTTTTTTTAATCAAGTTCTATGCCTGGTGGTTCAGCAACAACTACAGCATGTGGTAGATGTGGACTTATTTGTTTTGGGTTTTTTAGGATTCCTGAGGAAGATCCTGAAAATACTGTGGCTGCGTGCAGTCTCCTGCAATTGTCCAGGAACACCAGTCACACAGAGTACATGTGCACTGTGGACATGACTGAACTCCTAGGAGATACCAAGGTCCAGGTGGATGTTACAGAGGTAGCTGATAGGCAGCAAGTGATTTCCAAAGACTTTTATTTGTCAGACAACAGTAAGTACAAAAATGGTGGATTTGATAAATACTGTCTGACTATGTCTAGGTGCCAGGATAGTCTGGGCAAGGAGTGAGCATGGCAGCAAGTGGTGGGGGCTACATTTGGTGTACACTCATCTACACAGAGCACTGTGCTCTTATTGTCACTATTATGCTTGAGGCTGAGCTTAGAGCTGGCTTAGTCCATGCTTTTCATGGGGAAATTCCTTTTCACCATGAAGCAATAGGTGACAAATTTCCACCTTTGACCAGTCTCATACCTAGATTATTATGCAGGAATTTGTTCTTGGCTGGATTCTAAAGAGCAGGAGGAATTGCTTTATTGCAAATGTCACAACTCATAGAATCCTTAAAATGGTTTGGGCTGGAAGAGACCTTAAAGATCATGAAGTTCCAACCCTGTGTCACGGGCAGGGACAGCTTCCATTAGACCAGGTTGCTCCAAGCCCTGTCCAACCTGGCCTTGAACACTTCCAGGGATGGGGCAGCCACAGCTTCTCTGGGCAATCTGTGCCTCCCCACCCTCACAGCCAAGAATTTCTCCCCAGTATACAATCTTACCCTGCCCTCTGTCAGTGTGAAGCCACTCCCTTTTGTCCCATCAGTACATGCCCTAGTCAAAAGTCCTTTTCCAGCTCTCTTCTTATCTCAAAGTAGTTCCAGAAGGCTCTTGCAGTGGACACCTAACATGACATTATTTTGGGTGGCACGAGGTGTCCCAGATGCAATGGATGTAGCAGTTCCCCTTTATGGGGCAATTCCTAATCATCTCTCCTGCATGACAGGAAGATTGAATGCAATCATGTAGCTGACTTGGAATGCTGGTATGTTCTGGTTGTGTAGCAAACTGAAGAAAAGGAGTGGTTAGTCAGGCAGATGGGTACCGTGCAGGCATATGAAAAGGATTTTTCTACTTGGATTCTTCTGAAATTAAACTTTACTTGAGAAGTGTTGCCTTTTTGACAAATGCCATAACATTTCAGGAAGTCCCCTTGACTCCACTGACAGGCTAGATACTGGGTAGTAGTGCTTTGCATACCTCCTGAAGGTCCCTGTCCAGAGGCATTGCAGCTCAGTAGCAGGCCCTGCTGGAGTTTTGCGTTACTGCTTTTCCATACATGAACACACCCTGCAGGGATATAAAAGCTTGGGTTTTGGGCACTTAGGACACAGGGAATTGCACCGGGTTTATGCAGTGTCCCCTTGCCTCAGCTTTTCCTGATATCTGTTACATTGAGGAATATTTCCCCAATTTTTCAAGCAATCATGACCTCATAGAGTCCTCTTATGTCATGAGAGGTGCTCTACTCTTTACATCTCCCAGGACTTATTATCCTCTTGTACTATCTTCTTCTGCTCCCTAAGCAATGAGGAGGTTCAGAGACAGGCAGAAGGTATATTCAGCGAAAACTCGGGCCTGACCTCATTATGCTGCTCAGATGGGAGGTTCTGTGCACGGCTGAGGGGCAGGGATGCTGTGTATGCTCTCCTGTATGAGGAAGGCCCACCCGTGCCAGGCCAGTTTTGCTCCCTACTCGCTCTGCATTGCTGATACCACACTGGGCTGTCTTGTCTGTAGTAATGTTATGAAAGGTAACACCATCCTGTCTTCCAGTCAAACCACAGCCTCCATTCAACCTGACCACTTTGTTCTCAGAGGGTTACAATATTTCTTGGGAAACCACCTACCAGAAATCTCCCTTCCACTTTTTGAATGAGGAGCTGGAATATCAGCTGCGTTATAAGAGAAGGACCGATAGCTGGGAGGTAAGTGAGATGTCAGTTTACCATCAAGTAGGATGTACCAGAAAAGAGGAGGCCAGCACAACCAGGATGGCAGCACTGGTGTGGAAGAAGTATTTTCATGGTTTAGAAAAGATATGTTTCTGCTTGACTGGACTGAAAACAGGCAAACCCAAAAATGAATCAAGAAGCAGAAGTTGTGTGAGAAGTAGTAGTTCCCGTGAGGAAGAGTGATAATTCATTTGATTCTCATGCTGTCCTGTATGAAGGTTCCCCAGTGGCTGAATGCAGCTGCAGACCAGCCAGAGCATGGCCTTGAAGAAACAACCTGAAAGCAGGGGAGGTTATTTTACAGGGCTCCTCACTATGCAGCAGTGAGGGGAAAGTGAGAACAGTCACTCTAACCCTGAGTGTTTGGTGTTTAATTATTCACAGACTCAGAAGACTAAAGCTGTTCATGAAGGTAAACAGACACTGGTGATCCTACCATGGGAACTCCAAGTGAACACTGAGTACGAGTTCCAAGTGAGAGCCAGACCCCGCGAAGACAGCGGCTACCATGGGTTTTGGAGTGAATGGAGTCTTCCAGTGTCACTGAAAACCAGCCCTGCCGGTACATGCTACTAGCTGTCCTTGCCCTTCCAGTTAGTCCAGTGTCAGAATGCTTTCAGAACTCTAATGAAATCTAATTAATCAGAACAAATTCTAAATAGTCTAAACAGGTATGGTTAGCTTTCTTGCTGAGTACAGGAACCACAGGCCTGGGCTGTCAGTATCGATGTTCTCCCTTGGAAAAGGATTTGGTGGGGTTGCCTGTAGGTTTGGGTGCCACAGCAGGAGTGTAGCCTCTAGCTTCCTCTTCAGTGTCAAATGCCCAGGGTCCTGCTTGCAGCTTTCAGAAATGAGGGAGATCTCCTCTACTGGAGCTTAGTGTTGCCTTCAGCTGAGGGGAGAGGGATCCTGCTCTCAAGTCTGAGTTCTGGGACTGGACTCTAATGGTTGGTCATGCTGGGCATGGGTATTTTGTTTGGTAGCTACCACTCCGCAGGGATTTCACAGTACCTTATGCACAGAAGTACACTGATGTTTCTTGTGGTGGAACAAAGGCTATGAAAACAGGGAGCCTTTGCTCCAATAGAGCAGGACAAAATAACTGCAGTCAATGTCAGCAGAATGTGCTGAGCTTCCCTGCTCTCTCATTCATCTGCAGCTCAAATTGAAATATTACAGGGTTTACACGGTGCTGTGGCAGCAGGGCCAAGCTCCATTTGCAAAGGGATATCTGAGGTCTGGATCTTAAAGGTGCACCTTTTCACCACAGGTGGAGAGCAGCCACCAAACAGTCATTTAGTCAACACCATTTCTTCACATGTCTCTGGCCAACTGCTCTCTCTCTTCACTTCATGGATCACTTATGAGGTGTCCGTAAACCAGGAGTCAGAAACACCAGGGGTCTTCGTGGCAGGGAGCTGTCCTGCCCCAAATTTGCTGGCTGTCTGTGTGTGGTGCAGCCAGGCCATGGGGCAGCTGATGCACTGCTCCTTTCATTGATGCAGTCTTCTCTGAGCATTCTCATTCAGACCTGGGCCATGGGGCCCAGGTGACAGCCTCAATGTCCCTATGAGAGAGTCTGGGGTAGAAATTAAGGGTGCCTCAGAATCATTTATGTTGGAAAAGACCTCCAAGATCATCAGGTCCAACCTGTGACTGATCATCACCTTGTCAACCAGAGCAGAGCACTGAGTGCCACATCCAGTCATTCCTTGAACACCTCCAGGGATAGTGACTCCCCTGGGCAGGCCCTTCCAATGCCTGACAAGCCCTTCCATTGCAAAAGCCCTTTTTCTTCTTACCATCTCCTGCTTATTGACCGGAGGATAAATGCAAGGTGAGCCTGAATGACCCTTCTCTTTGTTCAGCAGTAACACAAACAGCAGGCATGGGATGGCTGCTGCTGTTTGGTGTTGTTGTGTCAGTCATGGCTTCAATCGCAACCTTTCTGGCCAAACAGCAGAGGTAAGAATGCTTCAGGAAGCGTGAGTAAATGCTCTTACTCTATCTTGATAAAGATGGGGTGTTCACAGGCAGCCTTTTTTGTATGGGCAGCATGGGCTGCTATGAGCTTGTGAGGACCAGCCAAATATGGTCTCTAGCTGATGTCCTGCTGGGAGCGAGCTGCTTTTCTCTGGGGCTCTGCTGCCACTCAGCTGGTTGGGACAAGACAGTGGCACACAAGGATGAAGCAAGGGCCACCTAGCCTCCTGAGCTGTTCTGGTCTTGTCTGTGCTCTGCAGCTGCCAGATGAAGCAGTAGCCAGGGCTGTCCTGCCCCTTTTCAAAGCTGACATAGGCCCCTCAATGCTGGCTGGGAGCCTCTCTCCCTTTTGGGGTGCTGACACAGAGGAGGGCTGGGCTCGTGCAGCAACAGGGCTGGCACAGCCCAGGTCCACAAAAGAATTGCATAGGGCAGAGTTCTGATGTGCAGACCACAAGCCAGCTCAGCTTGAGGGGAAAATGCACTTCAAGCACTTGGTGCTTTTCCAGGAAGGAAAAAATTGGAATCTCTTTCCTTAGCATGAATATATGTGTGTGCAAGTGCTGAGGTCCCACCTCCTGTGAGGTTCACAAGAAAGGCCATTAGATGGCTCTGGCAGCACAAGGCATCCTTGGATCCTCAGCCACTTTCTAACTCATGAGGCTGGGCAGGTGATTTCAGTTGCTTGAAATGGATCTAGAGATGCCTTGCTTTGCATCCGTGACATATGCTTAACCCCAAAACCTTTCTCTTTTCTCTTCCAGCTTTTGGAAGAAGATGGCTTGCATACCAGACCCTGCTCCCTTTTTCAAACCTCTTTACCTGGCACATAATGGAGATTTCAAGGTATAATTGGGCTACACAAGAACATGTGGAGTGGAGCACATAACAAACTTAAAAACCATTGTGCTATCCTGGGCAAGGGATTCTCTTTAGGGCAGTAGGAGGGGAAATCTATCTCAAAGGAATGCCAGAAGGCTCTAGATATAGTGACCAGAGCTCTCCAGTGTCTGTTCTGTGCCATGAAGGCTTTTATGTCATGTCTGTTCTGCTTATTCTCTGTAGGTGCTGTCTCAGTGTATGAGCTGAGTTCACGTGATTTGTGAAGACTGGGATCCTGATGGGAGTCCAATACCAGAACAATAACTGGGACTTTTCCAAAGCTGCAGTCCCATGGGGCCATAAAGGCCATGGAACAGACTTAATTGTAAAGGCCAGATCTCCCACTCCAGGCTCTGATGTGACACAAGCTCAACATTAAGCCATATGGTTCTCTCTGAAAAGTCACTCACGTAGGCAATAGTTATGCCTATTGTCCTGGGAAGATGTCCAGAGCTTTGGGGGGAAATTGCTGTGATAGTACAGTGCAGCTTGACTCCCTATGAAGGAATTGTCTTTGAGTAACTTTGCCTAGCCCTCCCAAATTCTCTTCTCATTTAACAGCAGCCAAACTTGCTTTTGTAACAAAATAGTTTGCAAAAGCTGCAAAGTTTTCTGGAGTCCTCAGGATGCAAAAGTAAAAGCACATTGAGCATCCATAAATAATTATTTTATTAAGCTGAGGAGCAGCTCACAGTCCTGTTATCGAACTGTAAAAGTGCTGGCATATCAGTGCAAACATCACTGCCTCTTTCTGAACAAGTTCCTGTTGTTACAGCAGAACTGATCAGAGACACTTCAGAGTTTGCTTTTTCTTTTTGCTTTTTCTTAGACCCTCTGGGAGAGGGCCCTAATGATCTTCATGTACTTACTTTCCCACTGCTGCAAGGCTGATGTTTGTAATTAGATTAAGCAAGTAGTCTTGGAGGGGTGCTATTCAGGCCGAAGCCAGTAGTGACTGTCTCCCTTCCTTCCTTCCTCTTTCAGACCTGTTATGCCTTCCTATATCTGCACCAGAGGGATACTTGCATCCTCTGGTGAGGCAGCTGGTACTAGTTGCTCTCAGGGGAAGGACCAGGAGGACCCAGTGTGTGAATTCCTGAGAGTCATGGGCTAGTACTCAAGGTTAAAATAAAAGCTCCCTGGTATGCCAAGAGCCATGCTCCTCTCAGGTGAAGCCTTGGGCTTCTCTGTTCTGTGGGAATTACATTCTTGCCAGTTTTTACATAGGCTGTTCAGTGCTGCTGGGAAGGGAAGGAGTCTCAGTTGCTAAAGCTGAGTTACTTCCTAGGAAATTTGGAGATCAAAGCAGCAGTTGCTCACACAGCCACAGCACAAGATGCACAGGCAGGGATGTTAAGAGGATGTGCTGACATCACTAAAAAGTGAACAGACTTGTCATTTTTGGCCAGCAAAAACCCAGTTGATGTAGGTCTTATTCAACTGCATCCTGCCTGCATCAAAGAAATGCAGGTTTTGTTAGGTTATATCTCGTGAATAATGTTTACAAATTACAGTAGTAATGCTCTGCAGACAGCACTCTTGGATTGGGTAGGAAGCAGTGAAAATGTTAGAGAAAAACTTAAAACATAGAAGGGAAAGCTAAGGAACATTGTTTACTTGTGTGTATGTGAGTTCTTAGGTTCATATTGAGTGGGAATTTGCAAAGAACTGTCAAGAGGGAATAGGAAATATTCTGCCCACTCAATTCTAAGAAAAGGATTTTCTGTTGTTTCTCCAAAACCCTTTTTCCACCTCGGGTGCCTTTCTGTCCATTACAGCTTTAATACAAAGTTCTTTGTAGCTTAGGTTAAAAATTAATTAAATAAGACTTGGTGCTTCCTGCTGTAATGAAGATTTTTTTTTTTTTTCCCCATGCTCTCTGTCAGAAGGTAATAAACTCCTGCCAAGCTGTTCACTTCCCAAATATTTTGCTCGTGTATAGTTATGCTGAGTGCAGTTTGGGGCAGGAGGCCAGTAAGATTAAGGCAGTCTGACAGATGTGGCAGCACTCAGAAGCCTTCATAGTGTCTATGAAATGCAGTGTTCTTACCTATTTTATACACAGCAGAAAGCAATACACTTAGAAGAGCCTTGACACAGCTCAGCCATTAGGTAAGTGGAAGACAGGGAGCAGAATCCTCAAGTAGGACTTAGTGGCATTCATTAGTGGCACATGTCTAAAATTTGCAGTGATCTGTGTGTCTGATTTAGGGACTTCTTCAGAAGAAACATAAACTTTTACTGTTTTCTTAAATCAGAGAAATCCAGAAGTGCCTTTACTCTCAGATGTGACTGAAGGCAAGGGGCTTGTGATCTAGAGAGAATACCTGGGACAGGGCAGTGTGATGCTAATGGTGATACAGAAGGGCAAGATTCAATGTGTGGCACTCCCTAATCATCTGAGTAAGTGTTGCAGGTGGTGGCTAGAGTTCTGTGAGGACCCCAACCCCTGCCTACTTCTGCTTCCTTCTTTTCACTGTGAAAGAAAAGCTGTTCTGGTGCATACAGAAGATCGGAGAAGCCTTGTCCAGACCCCCTTCCCAGGAAACTGAGGCAGGGGAAGTGAGAGAGCAGGACTATGTGTGTGTTGGTTGCAAGTGCAGTACATGGGGAGAAGCTGACCATCCTTCCCAAGAGAAGCAGTATCCAGGACAAGAGGGTAGGGGCAACTTAGTGGCTTGGCCTGGGACTTCAGGCTGATTGATGAAAGAATGCTGCTATGGGCAGTGGCATCCTTTGCAGCATAGAGAAAATTGCAAAGCCATGCAAACCTCTCAGAGCTAATTATTTTGAATTACTTCAGTCAGTTTGCCTGCAGCTGTGTCTGGTAATAACAGCATCTCCTACCCTGTTCTGTTGGAAGAGTCAGTGGTTTTAGAGTTTGCTTTCGCCTCTAAAAGTATAAGAACTTTGGTCATTTCTGTGCAACCTCAAAACTTGTGATACTAACCTCTCTCACTGTATGTCCTTTTCTGCAGAAGTGGGTTGGTGCATCCCATACAAAAATGACCTTTGATTTCTTTGAATGGGGAATAGTCCTGCCAGAAGTCCTAGAAGTTTATACCATGCGTCCTTCTAACAACACCACACGGGAAGAGCTGCATGAGCTGAGAAAGAATCTGACTTGCAAGACCTGTGTGTCTTGCCTGACTGCCCCAGGCCACAATAGCCAGTCCCTGTGGTCCGGTGTAAACAGCAGTGGTGGGACTGAGGAGCAGTCATACGGGCACTTGTCCATTGATACGGTGACTGTGGCTGATGAATTTACATCCTGTAACCACCAGTGCAGCTGTAACCACGTGTACAGGGGACATAAGCATACCAATGAGGAAGATGATAGTGCTGGAGGACCTGGTTACCCCAAGGTTAACATTGATGAGGAAGACAGAAAGATATCCCATGACTTGCATCTGGCTGATCTGAGCACGCAGGACAAAATACTTGCTTCAGGTTCCGTGTCCACAGACCACTTGAGGAGCACAAGTGTCCCAGTCCACCAGCAAGTAGAAAGGTCTTCAGAAGGAGGAGTGGGGAACATCCTAGAAGCCCTTTGCTTGCAGCCTCTTCGGTGGGATTTGGAAAATCCAGGTTCTCTACCTTCTCCTGACGGTGACAGTGTTTCCTACAGTGAAGGCTCCTATGACTTCTTCCCTCACAGTACCAGGCCCGGTGACAGTTACCCTATGATCTGCGTTGATTTGGACACTATTGACAGTGGCTTTGTGGACTCAGACTGTGGAAGTCCACTTGATTGTGAATTTGGGCAAAACAGTCAGACCAACTGTGGGCCCATCTCTCTTGAGCAGGAGGGGCAGGACTTTCCACGGAGCTACGTCAAGCAGTGGGTCTCCTGTCGCTCTGACAGCCCTGTCAGTGGGGCACAGGCAAACTGAGGGCTTGATGTTACTTGGCAGAGTGTGGGGCCTTTCCTTACTGTGCCAGGGGCAAAGTGTTAGCAAAATTCAGAAGAGAAACAAAGTTTGCTTTGTGTAAGCTTCTTGCATACAACTGAAAACTGTTAGGTCCACAGAAATACGTGTCTATTTCTGTTGCCACTTATCCTATTAATGTCTCAAATTTGTTATGATTGATTGTTTCTGGGTTTGGTTGGTTGGTTGGTTGTTGTCTTTTTTAGAATTCTAAGTACCTTGAAAATTATCCTTTGGGTTATATAGATGTGCAATTTTTTTACAGTAACCTTTTGAAGAGTACAGAACATTAAATTATTTTCCGTGGTGTTCTTGCATGACTTGGGAGTTTGGCTGTACATGGACTCTTAGAAGCATAACCCATGGCAAGCATGTTTGCTACATTAAGGCTCCCCCACCCTTTCCAAACAACATGTGGTATTACTTTTCCTACTAATGTCTTTTGGCTCTTTAAACTCAGCTGTAGTAGTTTATTAGTTATGGAGGTCCCAGACCTGTCCATGGGGTATGATCAAAGCCAATTCTTATTTAATCACCATAGAAATATATGTCCAAGAGAACAAGCACAACTCAGGTTTCAGAAAGACTGTGCCTTTCCAGGTGGGGTCTGTAAATGAAAAGTCTTCAAAATATATAATTCCAGACAAACTCTTTCTACTAGGCTACTGAATCAGCTTATCTCCCAGCACTTTTCAAGCACATTAATTGAGCAGCTTTTAAAACTATGCCAAAATCTCAGAAATGTCGTCCTAGCTGGATGTGCCTGCAACTTCTGCCTTGGACTTGCTCTACTGCTGTTAACAGGTCAGTAGCACAGATTTTGAGCAATTTCTGCTAGCTAATAAAGCCAACTATGAAACTGCAATTTGCACTGTAACTGTCAATCTGTTTCCCTCTGACATCTCTATCTCTGATTTGTTTAGCCTAATTGTCTTTAAAAGTTACTGCAATACTGAAAGTGAATGTGAAGACCTAACGTCTTATGTAGGCATAGTGCTGCTTGGCTGTAGGAGGTCCTATCCTGAGAGAATCTTTGTGGTGAATGATGTTTGCTTTCAGTGCAGTAATAATCTGTTGTTGCTGTGATACCAATAAACTCCCTTCCCTCTTCTCCATCTCTTAACTGAGACTATAGGCATCTCCACAGCTCCCTAAAGAGAAGGGAGTACTGTAATGAAGAGAAGCTCTTTCTTTCACAGGTGAGTGCTGGGACTGTACTGCTATGCATCCACCTCCCTGGTTTGATTGTTCAGAACAGCCATGGTATCTGCTATGTTGATTTTGGACCTATATGGCTTAGTTTTGCCCATGTTTTTATTATTCCCTCAATATACCCCTAGCTCAGTGGCTTCCTGGGCACTGCTCTAAGATATTAAGTTTTTTGGTTCCTTCCCTCCTTATTTTCCATTTTTCTTGTCATCAGCTGTGATAAGTTGTGGGAGGTCTTCACATGCTAATACATCCTCCCTGCTGCACAACCAGTCCCTTGTGTGTCCTCTATGAACTGCAGAGGATCACCCCAACTTCACTGCCTGGATGAGCTGAGCCTGCCCCACACTGTCCTACAAGGGCTTTTGCATCATGCTCATGTCAATGCGAATGTGTACTAGGCAGAAGTGTTTCTGATGGTTTCCACACAGTCTTTTACAGCTTCATCTTACAACTATTTTCACTTCAGAAACTACATTGTGGTAACTGACCCCGGCTGCTTAAGGGAAGAGGGGAAACTCATCTTTCTTTCTATGGCCCTTTACATCTCAGTTCTGCCTGCTATTTGTCTCTGTATCGTTGGCCCCAGAACTGCTGAAGGAGCTGTTTCTATTACTGCAACACTATCGGGCTGTACATTTGGTAGAAGGTGATGGTTTGGTGCTATGCTGGGCTAGAAGTTACTTCTGGTCACCCTAGGAGGCAGATTTTGCAGGCAGGTACCTGCCATAAGAGTATTAAAATAAGGGAGGCCATTCCCTTTGAAGCAAGCTGTAACAATTGCCCTTTGGCCAATGAATTGTTGTCACTGTGAATGTGGAGGGGTTGGAAGTGGGGGTTTTTCAGTGTCTCCTAGGAGCAAACTGCAAATGTCCCTTACCTAGCAGTATCTAATTTGGAAAAATTATGTTTTCCCAGGAATGTTAGGGCCAAAAAGCAGATACTAGGGGAAGAACCATAATTCATTCTGTTGTACCAATTTGGAAATGTCCATCTCCATTTCTGCATGGCCTCTGCCTCCTTGTCTCTTGGCCCCAGAAGCTGATACTGACAGACTGTTATTTGGTCTATTCTTCGACTGCTTCTCTCTCCCCCTTCTTGGCACTAGACCCACGTACAGGACTGACTTGATGCATCCTAATTGTAACACTGCCATTGCAGCTGGGCGTGGGAAGATCTGTTCCTCATATGCTCTGGGATCAGGACACAGAAGCACTGCAATACTTTTTTGCCTTTGCTTCCAGAATTGCACTTTGAGCACAGTGCAGCAGTTGGCTGTGGGGGAAGCGCAGGGCAGGGCCGCTCAGGGTGCTCCAGGAGTCTGAGCATAGTTTGGTAGAGGACTTGGGTGGAAGCAGTTTTGCCTCACATCCAGACAGGGCTAGAAAATTACTTTAGGTCACTTAGAAAGCTCTTCTGTTGGCCCTTTTTTATATAAAAGTTGCAAGCCTATACTTCTATATTCAGCAAATTGCTTGGCCTTTTAAATGTTAACCCTTTAGCAGAAATTCCTCAGTTTCTCCATGACTAATGAGTAATTACAGATACGGCTACTTTAACTCAATCTGATAATCTGAGCAGTTTTTCATTGGTTCTTGAGATTATCTTTAAAATCAGGCACAGTATGCTCTGCTTTATTATGTCACTGCTGCTACTGCATGATCATCAAACCACGAAACCCAAACTATCAAGGGACAGAAGCGGTGCAAAAAGTGACATTTTCTTTGAGCTGGTAAGACAGTTTAACATATTTCTGTTCCATGTATGCCAGTATCTAATGTTAGGATACATCTACTGAGCTAAAATGTTGAAAAATATTTTCTATCCCTAAATGTGGAATTATATATTGTTTCTTTTACTAGAAACCTAGAACAAAAGAATCATGAGAAGGGTCCCTGTGCTTTTGTTCTGCTAGTTTGCTGAGCACAAAACAACACTATTGCATTAATTCTGATGGATTGTGCTCAAAAGAAGGACCACCCTGAAGAAATTATTTTTTAGGTACTCCTCTCTGACTGCAAGAGATGAATGTAAAGGAATCCAGCCAAAATAGTCCTCAGTGTTTGGGACTTTGCAGGCAAAAATATACTTTTTTAATGTATGCATGTGTGTATAGATACGTGTGTGTGTGTGTGTGTGTGTGTGTGTGTGTGTGGATATTGCTTTATTGCAGTAGTCATCCTTTGTACCAGGTTTTTCTCTCGGATCCAAGTATGTCAAATCTAAAAGTGCAAGGCTGTTTGTGAGCATCAAATTATGGGAAGATGGCTCTCCAAAGATGAAGGGAGAAAAAGACTGGTTATATGGGGTTCTCTGATAATCTCTGTAGTTGAGAAATCCAACCCCTTTTTCCTTATTCCCCAGCAGCTGGCATGCTGATCGTGTGAGTCTGCTGTGTGCACTTGATGTGCTTCTGTCAGGCATGTGCTCAGAGGCCTAGGTATTAAGAAGGTAGACAATCTATGGCTAATTTTTCTTAAAGGGCCTGCAGAAGTTTTTCTTTATAGGCAGAGATGATTGTTCATGATGGGTACCCCTCTAATCACACCTAGTAGTATAAAGGTGAATGTACACTTGGGTTAGTCCTAATGGATGGATGGATGTACCTGTTGGTACAGATGTGCTACTGCCTGTCATTGTTTTACTTCATAGGTGCCAGTCAGTGTCCTGCTTTTCTGTAGTGCCTGTTGGTGCTTCCTCTGGAAGAGATGTAAGCAAAGGAAGGGATTATGGCCAAGGGAAAGCAGGCCACTTATCACTAATTACTAAGATGTAATGGATGGAAACAGTGTTCAAGGGTCCAGGTCTGCTGTGTCTGCTCCCACTGTACACCACTCATTGTATCATAGAATCCTAGAATGGTGTGGATTGGAAGCGATCCCTGCCATGGGCTTGTCCAAGCCCTGTCCAGCTGGCATGGAACACTTCCAGGGATGGAACAGCCACAGCTTCTCTGGGTGACCTGTGCCAGGGCCTCGCCAACCCTACAGGGAAGAATTTCTGTCCAGTATCCAATCTAATCCTGTCCTCTGTCAGTGGGAAGGCATTCCCCCCTGTCATGTCACGTCATACCCTTGTCCAAAGTCCCTCTCTGCCTTTCTTATAGCCCTTTTAGATACTGAAAGGGGCTCTAAGGTTTCCTCGGAGCCTTCTCTTCTCCAGGTTATCAACCCCAATTCTCTCATCCTGCCTGCATTAGCAGAGGGCTCTAGCTCTCTGGTCATCTTCACGGCCTCCTCTGGACTTGCTCTAGCAGCTCCATGTCCTTCTTACATTGAGGACCCCAGAGCTGGACACAGTAGTGCAGGTGGTGGTCTCACAAGAGCAGGGTAGAGGGGTAGAACCCCTTCCCTCAACCTGCTGGTCACACTGCTTTTGATGCAGGCTGATGAAGGATTGGCTTTCTGGGTGGCAAACGTACATTGCTAGATCCTGCTGAGCTTCTTGTCAACATCATATCTTGCTGTGGGAGTGACAGCAAGAAAAACACATTTTGAAAGAGTCCAGAGCCTGAAGCTTCTGACTTCCTCTAAGATTTAGGTGAGCATAGAAGACCAGATGTATGAGCTGCAACAAGAAAAAATTACACTGATGAAACAATGTACTCTATATAAAAATTGATTTCAGAGGTGGAATAAAACCGAAGAGTCCTGTCTCTCTGCTGTGGGCTGGCATGTAATCTGACAAGTATCCAAGGATGCTCAAGCATGTTGAAGAAGCTTATGCACGCATCTCCATGTCAAATTTTTGCTCATGCTCTTATATGGCACTTCGTGTTTTGTCAGGCCTTTGTAGAACTTGTCTTACCTGTAGTCATCCAAAAGTCAGAGAT